ATATACTCTTTAGAAATAGTTATCAAGATCTTTCTAACTTGTTACTCTAGAGCTCACAAATTATTTGAAGATAATAAACTATATGTTAACACATAAATGCCACAAATTAATTTAGAGAGTAATGTGATATTTTCTTTCATCTAGAAATAAATTATAAGAAATAGCCTTTTGGGAATAATGTCTCAAACAAACATCAGCAAAAAAAATTGTTGTCTCAACTTAATGCCTATGTATTTTTAATCGAAAGATTAGACTGTATATACAAACAATATATTTTAATACTTTGTGTCACTACTTTTCTATTGTTTGCAAAAAAATATGACAATCAATGTCTTTCAAAAAATAAAAAAGTTTAGTATAAACAATTTAGAATGTTTGACATTAATTCGGCTAAACTATTAGCGAGTTAACGCATGCTCATGACAACATTAATGACCTGCTAATATACGGGAGTTGAAGTTATATTGGCAGAAGAAAGTGAGGAACCCAACAGGGAAACTTCGGTAGGCTCGACCTTAGCCTCCAAATTCGTTAAATTTTATTTAATACTAGACTTCAACACATTTGTTAAGCTTAGCCCAAAACAACTGGTCCAGCAGGCAACTCATCTAAGCAAAATCGGTGGCTAAGCACCTAAGATTCCCCCACGTGCACGAGCAAATAACCACCATCGATTAGCACGCGCATAAGTGCCACCACCAAACCTACCCACAAGACGCCGCCCGCAACCTTCACGACGGATGCCGGCTCTTCACCGGACGTCGTCTGTCAGCCTCCGGCCTGGACGCCGCCTCCCCTCTGGGCGTCGTCATCAACCGAGGCACCGATCCATCATCGAGGGAGCAGGGCTGCTGGGGAGCTCGTCTCCTAGGATCCTCGAAACCTCACTGCATTCACCGTTGCCCGTCCTCTGCAGCTCGCCGAATGCGTCGTCACCCAGGGCCCTCTGCAGCTTGCCGGATCCGCCATCGCCCGTCCAAGAGGAGGCTGTCTTTGGCTCTGTCTAATTTATTAGTTCACTGGTTAGTGCAGTAGATAGTTTAGTTGATAGCTATTTTGTTTCGGACTTCTAGTCAATAGCTAGTTTACTTCTAATTATAATTAATACATGAACTAATTTCTATCATTGTTTTATCTTTTTTTGTAAAAATGAAAAGAAAAAAGATTGTGTATAGTTGGTTTGCAAGCAGTTCAAATAGACTTCTTATTGTTTCTCATTCCATTATTGCCCCAATCAATTTTATCATTCAACCCGCTCTCATTGAGAACATCAATATCATTGTCTTTGTCTTTTTTTGGTCACTTCTCTAGTATTTGATGTATTGTTATGCGGATTGTATGAAACTTTGTTGTATGTCAATCATGCTGCTAGTATTGGTGTTCAGAAATGTCATGTCAATATGAGCACATTTTTGGCACATATTGTCTCTTTGAATTGGTAAAAACATTTTCTTCTTTTAAAATTTGATATTTTTCCTAAAACCTGAAAAAAAAATCTATAAATACTACATGTTTCCGGTAGTGATCTGGGAAAATTTCACTTTATTTGCACAAAAGGATTAGGAAATAACCATTTTTTTATTCTAAAGAGTGTTCGGTTTTCTTGGCGTGAACTTTGAACCCACAATGCATTTTCTTTCTAGATTTGCCACTGGCAGAAGCAGTTGAGTATGCGCTCTGTTGGCAACGGCATATTGGTTTGGTGGCGAGTCGAATTTAAAGATTTGAGGATTTTAGGATTTGAACCTAAATTTTCCATTCCACAATCATCTGTATCGTGGTTCCTCTGTATCTTATAGTTAGATTTAGAGTTTCTAGGATTTACACCACATGATCAAATTTATTGACTTTCTTAGAGTCGGGTTTAGGGATTTGGTTTGTAAGTCCAAAATTATTATTGATTCAACAATTGTAAATCAGGACAGTGATGTGACTTGCATGCTTTGATAATAGAGATAAAAATAAAGGTAAATTTTCCCTGCTTTTATCAGTGCGAGATTTGTTTTTTCTTCTATTAGTTAGCAAACAATAAAAGTTAGGCGCCCTATTTCTTGTATGTTGGTGGCAGAACATTGATATTAGTGCCTATGTTTTCACTCTAAATTTAATGTGACGTCAGTATTACTAAGGTTGAGAAACAAATGTGTGATTGTGTTTATTATTTCTCTTAGAAAGACAAATGCATGTACGGGCATACCTTGGCTATCTGGAATGACATGTTGGATATTTGTGGTCAAGTTGTTTAGACTGAAGAAATTGACAAGGTTAAGTGGCTACTCAAAACCTTGGGTACTTTCTCTCTTAAGTCGATTTATCATACTCAATACATCATTGCTAGACATGTTGTCTTCCCCTACAAGTTGTTGTGGAGGACGAAAATGTCTTTAAAAGTTAAAGCCTTTTCCTAGCTTGTTATTTAAAATAGATTTTTGTCCAAAGATAACTTGAGTAACGAAGGGTGGACAGGAAGTAGGAAATGTGAGTTCTGTGACAATGAAGAGAGCATTGATCACTTGCTCTTTTCTTGTTCACTAGCTAGGTTCTTATCGAATGTTATTGGGGCTGCTTTGGGGAATTCCAAAACCCCAAAGTCTTTTCTAGATTTATGCCAGAATTGGCTATCTAGCTATACTTGCAAGGATAGGGCTATAATCTCTGTAGGTCTTGCTAGACTTTTATGGAGTGTCTGGAAAACAATAAACAAATCTTGCTTTTAAAGTGTATACTTCCTAATTGCCCTACTAATGTTATAATTTCTTTATGTTCTCTGTTGGATTCGTGGACATTTCCACAGAAAAGAGGATTGAGAAAAATGCTGCTCATAGTGTCTAGAAGACTTTGGTCAACTGACGAGTGAAAATCTTCAGGGAGGTCATGGCTGGGGACCTACAGTTAAAAGGATAGGTGCCTACCAGTGAAGTGATTTTCGGCTTTGCTACATGATTTCAACGTTTCCTTTTTACATGTTCTGACTGTAATACTACATAAATTAGTCTCTTATCTGATGAGTTGAGTCCAGTAGTGTGTGATGCTTCTGTAGAGGGTAGTTGCTGGGTGTGAGAGGGTCTGTATCTCCCCTAGTTAAAGTTTCTCTTTCTTCTTGATTAGCACCCCAGATGTAGGCAGAATGTATGTCTTGGGGGTGTATGATGTTATTGCTTCGTCTTCTAAAAAATACTCTATTTTCTTAATTGGAAATGGGGGCCGGAGGCTCCTTTGATCTAAACAAAAAACAGATAATTTATATCGACTACAAATATTTTTGTAGTAACACTTCATATCACAGTTTCTTCTCAGAACTTCCATACTTGAACAGAACTTTGTAATTGTTTTCATTGATATATTCTTTTACCTGATAATTTGTTCTTAAATTCATTTGATATTATTTTAATATTTTGGAGGACGGTTATATTGAAATTCAGACAATTGTGGCATAAGATTTGGCAGCTAGCATAACCATACATACTATTTGTTCCAAAATTCTCTAGCAATATACAGAACTTTCATCAAATACATATACTGACTTAATGCAGAATACATCATAGCTTAAAGAAAATCCTTCAAATCTCAACTGAACAGGAGCCTCTCATGTCAAATATGAATAAGCTCATCAGCTACAGGAGGCTGCCCCCTAATCAGCTTTATAACTTATAAGCCGGTGATCT